TGCTTTATATCCCAAACGAATTTGCTTTACATGTCTATTCAAGACTCTATAGTGCTGGCCAAAAATATGGCATACAACATGCGGGTAAGTAATTCGATGCCATATATTCAAATACTTCCAAAGCAATGTTATTTTATATATTATGTATATTTAGGCTAAAAGGCTATCTAATCGATTAGTTCTTATACACTTAATATGATTATGTCCACAATTATAATCTTAATCTATAAATAATGCAGGTCAAGAAACAGTTTTTATTATATATTGTAATTAAAAGTCATTAGAAATGTTATCTGTTCTTAACTTTGTTTTTCGAGTTATTTATATTTTTTAAGGGTCGATGTTGACAGTTTTTTTAACTTAAACTGCAATTCATCATCTATGACTTAATCACTCAATCGTAAAGTGATATATAACTTTCAAGTAAGTGCTAACACACTGAGCTATGATCTGACTTCTACAAGTAATAATCAGTTATACATACTTGATAATCTTTTCAAACCTAAAAGGTTTAACCTATGAACGAATGTCAACAAAATTGTTTGAAAAGTCTGCCCTCTCAGCATCGCAGATAACATCTCTGCTTAATCCAAAAGTTTTAATATTGGAAATCTATTCAATATCTAAGTTTATCCCCTATGTGTCCTCTCTTTGAAATACAGAATCGCGCAAGTCTAATTAATTTAAGTTGTAGTCCACGTTTGACGGAACAATCAACTCTTTCGTTGACTTCGTTTACTTCGTGTTCCAGGACCAAAATAACTTGGTAGCTTTATACATATTTTATATCTGTATAAAGTTTACTTTCAAAATTTATGGATAAGGTAATTAGGGGGTCTGTACTTTAAATTTATTGCTTGCTACAGTATTTTTTAACTGAAATAGGAGTAATTGATATATATATATTGCAATAAATTGCAATCATTTTTATTTTCAGGTTATTATGCCACACGCACTTTGCGGATTGAAAAATTCTATGCATTTTGGGGTCAGGACCTGGATACATTCACAACACCATTGGAATGTGGTCGCAGTTGGCGTGTTAAGTTTAATGTAAGTAACTACTGCCTAAAAATAGGATTACTAAAGCTAAATGTTTTTAGTTAAAGCTAATGACCTCATAAAATAATCTGTGAATATTTTTACCTATATGTATTTGATCGTATATTTGTCTATTATTGAGTGAGGAATGCGTTATACTAAATGTATATCACCTCAATAGCTCAACATTTTATTTAAATACAGCACTTATTATAGTGGATCACCGAAGTGAATACAGTCATTATTGATTAGAAATGCTTCACAGACTAAATCCCATTTTATCAAACAGAATAGGACTAATATAAAACTAATATTATAATATAAGTATAAATTATAAAATATTATAAAACTATAATTATTAATAATTATTTAATCACTAGAAATTAAGTTTAAAGACTAACTGCCACAATTTTTAATCTCTCTATTACTTCTAGAAACCCATCAACTTTATTGGAAGAGAAGCTTTATTAAAACAACGCGAGGAAGGAGTTAAGCGTATGTACGTGCAATTATTATTGAATGATCATGATCATGAAGTTGATCTCTGGTGTTGGGGTGGTGAACCTATTTATCGCGATGGTAAATATTGTGGAATGACTACAACTACCGGTTATGGCTTCACCTTTGCGAAACAAGTTTGTCTTGGATTCGTCCGGAACTTTGATGAAGCTGGTAATGAACTTCCTGTGACCAATGACTATGTGCTTTCTGGTCACTATGAAGTTGAAGTTGCCGGCATACGTTTCGAAGCTAAAGTCAATTTGCATTCACCAAATGTACCAACCAAATTTCCTGATCGAGAACGTGCAGCATATCATGCAACACGTGATAAACCTGATCAGGCGGATCTATTAACTTATGAGACAAAGTTTTAAAAGCATTTATTTATTTATATTTAAAAAAATGTAAAAGATATTAAAAACATAACAGGTCGAATGTATCTAATATTTGTATGTATTTAATTTATTTTATTACTTTATATATGGCGTCCACTTAAATATTTAATATTTATTCTCTTTTGTATATAAAAATTTATTATAATATGGAATCGGATTAAATCTCAAGAAAACTAATCAAAATTTTTACCAAATAAACATTATGTCTCCCAAATTAGTAATATTTGAACAAAAATTTCAAATTATTTACATTTTTATAGTAAAATAGTAAAGTAGTAAATTATTAATTATCATTAATTATAAATTACACTGCAGCTCAATTAAGCTTAATAAGTGTCCTTTTTTGATAAAACTAATGTGTTCTCATTGAACCACAAAAAATTATTTACTAACCATGGACAATGACTATTAACAATTAAAATGTTCACTTGTTATTTAAATGAAGTTTATTAAAACTAAAACCAAAAATAAATAAAATACGTAAAACTATACATATTCTATAAACAATTACATTTTTTGATATTAAATTATATTATATATTGTGCTGAAAAATGATATGTATTTAGAAGTTTTTGTGAGTAAAAATGTATTAATTATTGAAAAAAAAATTATTTGAATATATCTTTAATAAACTTATTAAAATTATATTCAGTTTTTTATTTATTTTATAAAGCAATGCCTAAGACTAAATTGAAGATAATTAACTAAATTAAAGTTAATTAACTAAATTAAAGTTAATTAACTAAATTGAAGTTAATTAACTAAATTGAAGTTAATTACCTACTTACTTATTTGTTTGTCCAAAACAACCCGTTCTACAAAAATGTGTACGGCGCCTTGGATAGTTTCAAGCGTGATTACTACTCCTAGAACTAGATCACTCGGCTACAGACTCGGCTCTCTTCTCCTATATTTTTTTCATCTAACTGCCGCTTCTAACACTTTTTTTACTTAAGCATCGGACACTAGTCTGTTTTCTTGCCCCAATGCATACAGTAAATTGAATCCAATTGATCTTTTAACTCACTTTATTGAAGTAGCTAGGTTACACTGCCTTGATTCCATTTGACTTCATTTTATATCCCACCCAACCCCAATTTATTTTTAATTCGAAATCAATATCTCCCCTCTGACACTACAATTAGCTACCCATATTCTTATCCATGTATACGTCTTCATTTCATTCATGTTCTCTGCTTTATAGATCCTTGCAGGCTACTGAAAATCTTATGAAGAACTTTTCTCTCGCATATCTTTTTGGGGCGATGTATACTATTGTAACCTATAGAACAAAAGTTTTGAAATTAGTTAATATATTGTATTATGAATTTTTGTTAGTTTCAAATAATCAAACTATTTTCTTATAAACCTAGACGAAATTGTGAAGTAGAAATTTAACATACTTATCTAAGATCTTCCACAAAAAGATCTTTATTACTGTGTATTACTGTAGTAATATACGATAATAATACGAATAAAAAGCAATAACTATAAAATAAGCTACATCTGTAGATGTAAGGTTAGGTCTGTGATCTCAAAAGCGTTTACTTAATTTAATCTAGAGCTTCACTTTGTAGTTGTGTTTATTAAAAATTAATTTGGTTAGTCAGGGCAGAAAGCGTTTCCTTGTGAGAGTGAAACTTCCTACTATTAAGACTTAACATTACAGTGCTCTTAACGGTACCAATTGATGTTTTACGTTTCGATATGGAATAGAATGAGATCCATTTAATGCCTCTGATGTTCTTTGCGACACTGCCGAAGCTATGGGCCCTGAACTTCGTGATACCATATTTACACCTATCGTCGGACGCCGCAGGTAAAACTCACTAACTACCATTTATATTGCAAAGAGTATCAAGTAGTGCCTACTGGATTTTAGTCGCTTTTTACAATAGGCATGCTTAGCTGTGGAATATTTTAACCCGTTTTCCGCGTAGGTACCTCATTGCGTAACTTTTTCGCACATATGTCTTATATATATGCAAAAAGATAATAAACAAAGTGCATTTGCTAATTGCTCTGTTAGAACCCTGCGATTGTTTATTATAGATTTGCTTATTATATATACATCAGTGAACTACATGAACTACTCTCCCTGAACAATTCTTAGACTCTATATAAAATGTAGAATGTACTCAACTAACCATAATATATGTAGAAAGAACGCATAATAATCGATCAAAGGGTATCCGAAATGTATGATATTACCTTAACAAGAAAGAAGTAAAAACAATTACCGAACACAAATTTACCTATATGTATATTGCTTGAAATTTTAAAACGACCTGGGGGATATCCAGTTCTAATAACTAATAATTTTCTTTCGGAAAATCCTTATGCGAGATGACATCAATACTTAATAGAACTGTAAACGTAAAGTTCCAAGAACAACTGATTCTATTTCTAGAAGGCACTCATCAACGCCCAAGTGCAGTTCATTAACCCCCAAAAGGAACTATATTGGCCGATCTCTACGGTGTACAATAACAGGATTGTCAACTCGATACATTTCTGAAATACTTTCGATCAGTGATACTATCACTTCAACTGTTTAGTTCTTTAGCAGATCTCTGCAAACTACAATAACAACAGAACTGTAAACCTGATATATTTCTGAAATACTTTGGATTAGTGATATGACACCCAAAAGGAACTACACCAGCCGATTTCTACGGGGTACAATAACAGGACTGTCAACCTGATACATTTCTGAAATACTTTGGATCAGTGATACTATCACTTGAACTGTTTAGTTCTTTAGCAGATCTCTACTAACAGGACTATGAACCTGATATGTTTCTGAAATTTATTGGATCAGTGATATGACACCCAAAAGGAACTACACCAGAAAACAACAGGACTGTCAATCTGATACATTTCTGACATACTTTGGATCAGTGATATGATACTGCTATTATTAAGTTCTATTCAAAAACCGGTTATACTATATAGCTTTTGAAGTAGCGGATTAAATTTTTATTATATTTACAGTTTGATATAGACTGGATTTCATTGTTTTTTTTATTTATATAAAGTGAACTTAATTTCAAATTAAGTATAATCTCTATGGTGTTTACAACTCAAGATCCCACAAATCTAAAACATTTTTTATTCTGCTATTTATTTTATATTTTTTTAAAATTATTTTTTGTATATATAAGTATTATTTTTTTATTTTATATTATTTCTGTTTATTAATTATTAATTATTAAAATTATTATTAAATTGTTGAGGTTTAATTTTTTTTATTAAAAATTTTTTCCACCATGAAGTCAGCTATGTTTTATGGTACTAAGTATATATTATACTGGGGTCTTATGTATGTTTATGTATATATATATATACATACTAATCATATCAATATTTCATAATTAAAATTAAATTACTATAGCATTTCACCCTTGTAAATATGAAATATGTATATATAAGCTTTTTCGAACCATTAAGGACTCCATTATAAACATATACATATGTATGTAAATACAGGACTATGGATACTTATGTGTACATATATGACTCTCCTATAAAGTTAATTTTTTTTTTGTTTTTTGGGTGATTTCGTGGCAACTACACTAAAATTGTGTATACCATTTCCTAGTAAACATATCCTTGAGGATGGATTGAATACATAGCGTAAAAGCTTGTAAATATTAGTGGCACAAGAGTATAGAGAATTTATACGTGTGCACAAGGCAATGCAAGTACAAAAAAGGAAAAAGCAAAAAGGATAACGAGGAAAAATAAAATTTGGTATACACACGAATCGTGTGCAGGGTTTGTTCCCAGATTGGCTTTTAGCTCGTAGCTCGTTTGTCCCAGACCATGGCCAACTTTTTCCAGTAAAATTTCAATCGATATTTAACCCAGCCAAACAGAACGCCAGTTTCAAGTGGACATGCAACACAGGCATGCAAATGCAGACATGCGCACTGGCCGGAGTTTCTGCTTCCTGGCAGCCAGCAGCCAGCACAAGTGACAACAAAAGCGTCCGTGCCTTGTATTGTGGGTGCTGAGCATTCAGTTGCAAGCTAAAATAAACAAAATAAAAGCAGGCTCGTTTGTGTGGGTGTGTGTGTGTGGGTGTGTGTGTGTGTCAGGTGCTCGATATCGTGTACAATTCAAAGGTCTGCATGCGCATTAACAAAATTGTTTTTGGTATTGTTGGTGTTGTTGTTGTTGTTGGTATGAACCGCCACATTTCTGGTATTGCGATTACAGCACAGCACAGCACAGCATTCATGCATGTACTCACTCACTAACAACAACAGCAACAACAACAGTGGATAGAGTGACAGCGGCAACAACAAAACATAAAACATGAAACAAACAACAAATAACGTTGGCCGCAAAAACAATTTTTTGTGAGCTTCGTGTCCTAAATATTTTTGTTATGAGGTAGATGAACTTGTGCATGCATCTTTCAAATCTTGATTGTGTACAGAATTTTACGCGAGAAACTCACTGCTCTCACACACAAGAGCACGAAAGCATATTTTTGTTTTCCTCTTCGCCGCCAAGCCCACCCACCCGACACCCGACACCCGACACCCGACACTCGAGAACTTGTGCCATAATTAAAGCTTTGCTTTTGTTATTACTGGTTTTGGCACCTTGCCATGATGTGTACATAAAATGCAGTTTTTTTTCCTTGTTTTTTTTGTTTTTTTAGTTTTGCTCATTTTAGTCGTAAGCTGTTGCCAACCTATTTAAAATGAGGTTGGCTTCATTTTTATAGCGGTACACTAGAGATCAAATTTTTTTTTTTTTTTTTGTTATGTATTTTCGTTATAAATACGTTCACATTTTTCCCAATTATGTTTTGCTAAACAAATTTAATTTACTTCTGCATGTATACACATCTTCATCTTCATTCCCATTCCCATTCTCATTTTTTTGTTGTTTAATTTAAAATATTTCCATTTTTAGATTTTAATAGACTATAATAATACTGACGTCACACTACTACACTAAAGCTATTTCCACTTACACTTACTGTTAGCAATGAAGAATCGAGCCGTTACGTATTCAAGGTCTACATGAATCAAAAACTGGGTACGATTTGTTGTACCTGCCGCTTGAACATGGATAGATAAGCTTCCAATATAAAATTATTGTGCGGTACCCTACCAAAAAATGGCAGTCATATTAAGCACCACACAGAGCAAATGATCAGTTGTATGATAAGAGTATATAACAAGTTAATATTTCGATTTTGTGTTTATACAATATAAATAAGTAAATATCATATGAAATTTATGATCCGATCAAAAAATACATAAAGTATAGAGAGAGCCCTGAAATTATTTGCGAAAACTGACAGACTTACCAACACCGCATTATCGAATCTCAGAATGGTTACAGGCTCCTCGAGAAGGTAAGCAGGTCTGAGGTCAATTATTGCTTAGTCTGAAGAAGTGAATAATCCAGTCAAGGCGTAAAAAGTACTTTTGAAGATACCTCGCAGTTAATAGAGAATAAAAGTGCTCAAGTGCACTGGCTCAAATATCTTCAATATAATATAACATATTTATATACATATAATAATTATAATAATACGGTTTTATATAATAATAAATAAATAATATATAAAAACCTGTATATTAAAATCAATTGTTTATATTTAAAATTTAGTTTCTTTTGTCAAAACGGACGTTAAAAAACAATTTAATATAAATATTTGTAGGTGTAAATATTTATAGATATATATTTAATTAACACAATTTATAAATCATATATATAGTATTCGCTTTTTTTGTGACCAAGAAAATATGTTTTTGTAAAGTAAAGATCCTTGAAGATAGTCGAAAAATTGGAATAGTGCTTCAATAAAATATAATTTGTTTAAATATTAATAATAAATTACAGTATATAATGCAAATATATATATATGTGTGTGTATTTTATTATATATATATAATATATTTTTCATTTATATAAATAAAAATATAAATATATATTTTATATTCATTTTATTTAAATATCATATTTGTATAAATTCATATTTTGTTTAAAGCTTTTATATTACTATATAAAAAAATGAACGATAAATAAAGAGGTTTTCAAAAAGTAGTGAACTACAACAAAAATTCTTTTTATATTATTTTAAATAATTGAATGATTTTGTTGACCATACAGCTGTTTCGAGTATTGCCAAATACCCATCATCAGTGGTCTTGGAAATAATAGCAATAAATATTGCAAGAATTGTTGCAAATTTATTGCAATAGTAGATTTATTGTAACAAATTTTTCTTGTTCTGTTTTAGTAACAAACTTTAATAATATATTAAATTAAGCTCTCAAAAATCTCGATAATTGTCTTTCTTGGCGTATATCGCAACCGCCCGAAAAGCTAAAAATTCTTTTAAATTATTTTCACTCTTAAACATAATATCATTTCGCACGTTAATCAAAAATGTCAGTCTTCATCTCCCTTAACTGAAAAATGCTCTGTATTGACACTATCTGCTAAACTATCTGAATCTCATCACCTCAAATGAAACTTCGAGGGTCAGAATAAAAAATGCTCGAGACTGCACTCGCAGACTAAATGAAATGATTACATTTTGTTATCCCTAGCGCGAAGATATTTTACCAGACATTATAATTCACTTATATTTATCTCCAAACATGTCTAGCATAGAATTTACAGTTTATAAGTTATTACTACCTAGCAAGAAAATCATCCCTTGCTCCCCTCCATTATTTACAAATTCGGTTTAAATATGTATATTTGTTGTCTGAATACTTAAGCTTCTATATTCTATATTCTAATGTCGGTCTTTCCCTTGATCACTAGAATGGGGTTTTAGCTTTTGATCTGAATGATCCAATATTTGGAATGAATCCATTTTGGATTCCTAAGAGGTAAAGTCTCACTCTGTGGCTTTCTATGTGGCGTTTCAACTGCCGGAAAGAAAGTTGTTTTGAAATTTTAATTTCTTGAACACTTAGAAAAAAATAGAAAAAAAATGAAATTTGTAATAATATATTTTTTTCTCATGTAAATGATATACATATTGATATATATATTATTCTTTTTTTGTCACGTTATTATAATATAAATTGCAATAAGATTTGTTAATCACTGGTCGTCATAACTATTAGTTTATTTATATTGCTATTATTATATCAATCGAAACTATGAAAACATATGTTAGCAGTAACACAATATCAATAAAATAGCACCATTTGCGATCGAAGTATACCACATAACAGACTTTTTCAATGTTTTGTTTTCTGTTTTATTTTTGCATATATAAAATTTCTTATTGTCTTTATGTGTATACGAGAATATAAAGCGGAATTTTGCATCAACCACATTCCAGTTTACATATCAATATAAGTAAATGTGTGTGATTGTATATTTTTGCATTTTTTTCTGCTTATTTTACATATCTGGTGCACACGTATATCTTCTGGCAGAACATGCCAAACCACATTACTCAAACCCTCAACAGAACATTTGTAAAAACATAATGCTTTCTGTATAGTGTACATAATATATTTATAAGCAAAAAAAAACAATGTTTCTCTTAATGATTTGGGTGTATTGGTGCGTTTGTGACGCCGCACCTCACACAACACTAATAAACAGTTTCGTGCAAGCCATTCTGACACTGTGCATTTTCAAAGGTCCGGCATTACCGAGACGCTTGGTTGCAATTACGTCACAAATACTGTACAATAATGAAGATTTACAAAGATTTTAGTTTAAAATCATATTAACAATTTATCCGCAATTTAATAAAATAAAACTTTACACTGAAATAATTATTTTTTACAGTTTAAAAGTATTGAAATATTATAAAATTCTTGTTTAATGGAAATGTGACGTCACTAGCGCAGAAAATGCTATACCCCAGCAGTTCTGTGTGACTATTATGTATTACAGTAAAGCAAATTAAGAAAAAGTTCCAAGTAATTTATTTCTCAATAAAAAATTGTTAATGACAATAATTTGTGTAGAAAAATAAAGATATATTAAAAAGTTGTTTGAAATTTCCTTTCGAAAGTAATACAAATAAATCAAGCAGTACTTGAAGTTAATTGAAAATAATTAAAGTTTATATTTACTGTCTGGTTATGCAAAATAATGCAAAAGGTGAGATTAAAGAAAGCTTTGAATGTATTGTCGATAAACTTTTACATATAATATTTTTGTTATTCAGTAAAACAACAGCTTGCAGAATATTTGCTTATATTACTTATGTTTTACATATGATAATTGATGATTTCTTATATTGTTTATATTTTACCTATACATCAATAATTGTTTGCAATTAATCTGGTTTACGTTGTAGTATGATATAGAACATACATTAGTGCAAAACACAAGTCCAACGTAATTAGGTAAAAATGTCGTTTTTCGAAGGTTTTTCTTATAAATCATCATATATGATCGCATTTTTTCTGTATTCATATAAATGTTATACTAATTTAAATCATTGAACTGTTAACATCATAACATAATGTCCATGTTGGAATTATTTTACAAATTAAAAGTTTTAATAATTTATTTAAAAAACCATATATTTGTTATCAAAATATTTTATACGAAAATTATTTTTGCATCATGTTTAAAATATATGTCTAGCATTAATTCCAATAACAATATATACTCAATTATAATCTCTTATATTATATATATTATGATATTAATAAATTTTATATTATATTATTTTATTTTACATGTACCTGAAAGGTCCCTAATTCATTTTATTACTAATTGCACTAAAAATGAATCTCCATTGAAAAAGTTGTAATAGATTTACTAAACAAAAACGACATAAATTTGTATATTATAGAAATTATTTTTATATATAGTACAGGACTTTCTTCGCAAATTTTATATATAAAAAAAAAAAATCTAGTCACCCAAGCTTTAAGCATGCTTTTATCTTAGCTCCAAACTAGAATATTTTCCTTTCTTTTACTAATCAGTGAGCTTAACACCATGTAACTATTGCTTCTCAACTACAATATTTTCCTTTTCTCTACAAATCAGTAAGCTTAAGGCCATGTAGCTATAGCTTCTATAATTTAAGTTAGATGTTATTAATAATAACGTTATAACTTAGGCCGTGTGCGAGTTCGAGTAAATTGATGGTATATTAAGGGTAATAGTAAATTATTTCGTTATGGTAACGAATTTGGTATTTACCAGAACTTCGAGGTAAATTAAAAAATGAATAAATCAATTTGAAAACTTTTATATATTTACACAAGTGCGGTGCAAAAAATCAATTTGGTTTACCTCAATTTACTCGAACTCGCACACGGCCTTAATAAAGAAAATATATATTAGAACATTTTACATTTACTTTCGATTTACAGTTCCACTGTGCAGCAGAACTGTACTTTATATTGTACAAGAGCAGTCATGCGCATGTGTTGTGCTGGTTTGGTATATATTAAAACGTACATATACACACCGCCAGTCATTATGCGAGAGTGATTCAGAAATTTGCTGCCTGATACGTTTATTCGGTTACAGACAGAGTGTCAGATAAGTTCAGTGCGTTGTTGGGATAGTTTATCGGAGCGGTTCTTTAAACATTTTGCATTTTATATATTCACAAAAAATACATTACAAAAAAAAAAAACAAAAACAGCAATAAAAAAAATATTTTAAGAAACTATTAATTTTTTTAAGTCTATTTAATGGACTGTTACGGAACAAAATTGTTTTCACACTGCAGAAGTCTACAAATAGCATTTTTGCGTTGTTCCTAATATATTTACTCTAAGCATTGAGTGTCGAATAAAAGAAGGAAGAGTGAAGAAAATCAATAATTCAAACAGGACAACGGCCTCATGGATTACCAGTGCTTTTGTCCACGCAAAAGAGTACGTTAATAATAGAAACGAAAGAAAAACTAAACAAAATCAAAATGGAAAATCCCATTAAAAGTGTGTTGTGCGTGTTAATAAATTAAAACAAAACAAAACAAAACAAATCAAAAAAAGTAACGTAATTTTTTTTAAAGATCCAACTGAAAAAATATAAGAAGAATTTGAGCAAGAATTCAATTCGTGTGTGTGTGTGTTTGTATTGTACAACAAAGTTTTCGTAGGGAAAACAGGTCGTCTATAACCAGTGCGATAAAAAAGCTTTACCAATTAAACAGGAAACTGTAGTTTTTGTTTTTGCAATACCGTTCCGCCCCGAAGGGTAGCAAATACATACTAATTTTGTTTTTATAATATATATTCGCGTGCCCAGTTAAGTTGAAGCAGAAATTCGAAGATGTCGCTGCAGACAAAGCGTCAGCACTGCTATTTGTGTGACCTGCCACGGATGCCATGGGCGATGATAAATGATTTTTCCGAAGCGGTCTGTCGTGGTTGTGTTAACTATGAAGGAGCAGATCGTATAGAACTTGTGCTCGATGCCGCTAGGCAAATGAAAAGATTGCATCAAGCAGCTAAACGTAGTCATGAGAATGGAGAAGTTGTACCACAGCAAGCTGTACAGCCACAGCCACAAGGTCAACACCGTGGTGGCGGACCAATCAGTGTGGGAGTTGGAGTTGTTGGACCACAGCAACATCATCATGCTTATCCCACACAGCGTATTGGACCCCCACAAACAAATCTAATGGATTTCCCAGTGAAAATGGAGGCACACGATGCCAGTGTACGCCCAGTACGCATACCACATTTATCATCACACCATATGCCCATTTCAAGTCGTGCTGCAGTCGCTGCAGCAGCTGCAGCTGCAGCCTCAACAGTTAATACCGGTCCAGTTGGTGGACCTGTACCACCAACACTTTCAGTTAATCTAAAACGTCCACCATCCGAAGATGATGATCACGGTGACGGCAGTGGTGGTGGCGGCGGTGGCCCATCAGGCATTAAACGCAACAATATTGATGATCCTACAATTGCACGTCCACCGCTAACACGTGGTGACTCTTTGCCTGCTGCTGTCTCATTTGTGTCAGATCGTCAATCAGGATTACGCGACAAACATCAACCCGTGCGTGCACCCTCATTCGACGCATCATTCAAACCAAACGGTAAGTAATGAACGAAAAACGAACGGCACCTTTGTAGTGCCGTGCAGTGCAGTGTCAATCAAACTTTATCATTGTATCATGCATTGTTATTGTTGTTGTTTTAGTGGTTGGTAGTGCTAACACATACCTGAACATTTCTGACATTATTAGGTTAATTAGTGTGTGATATATACTTAAACAAATAATTAAGTGCTACTACGGTCGGATGTTGGCTATGCAAAGCGACTTAGTAAACGTGAAAAAGATAACGGTGAAAAGGAATTATAAAAAACGAATCAATAATATTTATCTATCACATCAACGCCAAGGCGCAGGGCGCAAGTCGCATTACTTTACGCGCCATTCTTACTTGTCTCTGTCCCATGCCTAACTATCTGAACGACAAAGTTGGGTGTACTTATCAAAAAATAAATATGTTTTCCTTATAGGTTAGATAAGATTAGATATGATAATTGACGCGCTTATCACATAATAAAAATACTCTTACTGATAAGGCAAATACTCGGCAATGACAAAAAAAATCCACCTTTTCCTTCCTTTCCTTGCCTTACCTTTTTTTTTCCAAAGCAACAATTTTTTATCTTCATTGAGCACAACAACAAATTTTTGTGCAATCTCATGTACCAGCGCGTAGAAAAGAAGAAGAAGCACGAAAAACGTACTCACACAGGTGTACATACACAATTCAGCTGTGTATAATAAGGGGTCCAAATAGATATTTCCTACCCTTACCCATACCATTACCATTAACATTTGTCTTGTTAGATTTCTTCTTCCTGCTTAACACCAAACAAGACAACAGCAACAACAACAACCACACACCAACAAAGCTGGCAAAACAAGGAAAAGGAACGAGTAGAGTTGCTGGCATGTACACACATTTTTCAAAAGAAGAAGATTAGGCGCCCTTATTTTACAACTATTTTTGCCATACGCTATTGTTGTTGTTACTGTTATTGTCGTTGTTGTTTTTGTAGTTGTAGTTGCTAAAAATTGTCATGCGCAATACCGCAACACTAACAAAAATGAACGTGCAAAAATCGTTCATGGCTTTCACAAGTTCGTTTGCTTAGTGTGTATTTACTTTTTTTTTCATTTTTTTTTGTTTTTGTTTAATGTTCTTTTTTTGGCTTACATTTTTTTTATTTCTGTTAGTCGTCATTAAACTTGTTTTTATTTTAATCATACGACGGCAACGACAACGACGACGACGACGACGATGAATTTGAAATACGTAGTAGGTGCCATAACACGACGTACATATACGTTGCCTATACAAAATTGGCAAGCACGTATATAGTATACAAGAGTATTTATACAATGTGTATCTATAAAGAGATATGTTTGTAAAAATTTCTGTACTTGTTTTTGCTTATACAAAACTACATGAAAACAGAGAAACATTCTCAGCATAGTAAACCGTAACTAAAAACACAGGCATTCTACATATTGGAACTTTTAATATCTACTTATTGGTGTGTGCATGTGTGTGCCTATCACAGAATGTGTGTGTATAATGTATAATGAATGTGCAAGACCACCAACACAACAATCCACAAATAAATAACTCTTAAAGTGTGGAACGTGTTTCAGTTGTGGATAACAAGACATGAGTTGGAAATTCAAATGTATGGTATAGCCCTAAGCCATACATAATTTTTTTTTGTTTTTTTATCGTCTTTATATGAGTACATAAATAATGCTTAAATAGCATTAATTTTTATCGTTCAAGCAATCACGAGGGGCAGGCACGGAATGTTGTGTGTTGTCTGTACATGGCAAACTTAAAAAATTTAATTATATTTTTTTTTAAACAAACGTTACTGCATTTTAAGCTCGTAAGCTCAGTCAAAACAAATTCACATTTGTTTTTATGCATTGATATGCAGATCACACGACCGAACAAGCTCATCACACTTTAAGTAGATTTCATTTGTATGTGTGTGTGTGTGGATGTGTGTAATTCACAATTACACGTTGAATAACTTAAAGTAAAATATTCATTCCAACGCTTTGATATGCTTCGTTACAAAATAATTATCAGATTCAATTGCTGCTAAAGCTGCTATGTACGCCGCTTCCCTTGCATGTTTATTGTTATTTATTTTAGCGTACATATGTTGTATATAAAGTGTTTAAATATGTACATAGCGTGCATAAACAAGCACGCCAAGTCAGTCGCTTGTATGAATTTATAAGAAAACTAAAATAAAACAATGCTGCGCTTGCATGTCTGTCTCCCCACCGCAATCGTATTTTCGTATTAGACATCGTGACATCACATTCTAAAACAAAACCCAACAAAAGCCAACAAATCCAAAACAAACTCAACCCATGCACATGATTCTTATGTGCCGTGTATGTAGTGAATAAGAAACTTTTATTTATTTATAACTGCCTATTGAGCGGTTACCAATACAGCCAAACAAAGTGCCGGCTAATAAGTTGAGGTGCTGCAATGTCTGAATGTGCCGTGCCGTGCCGTGAGGAGGAAAATATTTTAGCAGATGAAACAGTGCCATGGTATTTTTTTTTTTCTGTTGCTATGATTACTACTGGCGTCTTAGTCAAAAACCGGAAAGATGTGAGAAGTGAAGTGGTAGTACTTGAAGTAGTGGTTCGACGTGGTTTAATGTAGGTTGAACGGGGCACTACACTCGAAGCCAAGCAATCACGTGCGTTAATACAAACATAAAACGCCAATGTCTGACTTTCTCAAATTAATCATTTATATTAGCAACAATTAATATTAATATATAATGTTTAATACTTATAAATAAAAAAAAAAACTTGATTTCATTATAATAATAAATAAGTAATGGAAGCCAAAGAGTTCAATCAAAGATATTTAGATCTTAAACAGATCTAGTATCTAAATGAGAAGTAACTTTACTACTTTTACGAAAAACAGTAGTAGAGAGGAGTAATTTACAATAGGAACTCGAGCTAGTATCTAAGTAGAAAATAGCCATACCATTTCTTTTATGAAAAATAGGGGGAAAGACGAGTTATTAGTAAAAAGATTTTATTGTTAACAGATCTAATACTTAAACAAAGAATAGCCATATTACTACTTCTAATTTGAATAATAAAAGTAGGGTTGAGTAATAAGCAAAAAGAACTATATCTTTAACAGATCTGGTCATAAAGAATACTCATACATATTACTACTTTCAAAAATAACAAGAGTAAAGACGCGTAATTCGCCAAAGGGTCTGCTTAACAAATCTAGAAACTGAACGAAAAGTAATCATACTACTTTTTTCATCGAGAATAGCAGTAGGGAAAGGCATTACTAAAGACACCTTGAATTTTAACAAACCTAATTTCTAACAGATATACCACATAAACGAAAAATAGTCGTACTATTACCTTCAGGGAGAGATAAGCAATTAGCAAAAGCATCTCGATCTTTAGCAAACGAATATCGGTCTTTAAGAATTCCGAAGAGTAGCATATTACCATGAATAAAAGGAGTACGGACGAGTAATTAGTAAAAGAAACTCTATCTTTAGCAAAAGAATCTCGATTTTTAATAAATCCGGTAACTAAGCGAAGAGTAGCGTTTTATAAATATCAGAATGTCGAGAATATTTAATTCGAGGTTTGTCTTTGCTGATCTTTAATACCAAAAGTTTGTCCAAAGACAGGGATCAGATGTTCTGTTTTGCTTCAAGTAATAGAAAAGAACTTGTAGATAAATTTCTGATTTGTGGTGGATTTAAAAGATCCTGTTACAGTACATTCATACAAATTTTCAATTCAACAAAAGATAAAATTTTATCATTAATAATTCGAGATAAAAAATTATGGTTTGATGATTTAATGAATAATATTGTAATATTGTAGAAAAAGTATATAGAAGGAAATCTGTTGTCAAATTAGCAACTGAAATGCCTCACATATGTATATATTGTAAAACACTTAAAATTTCAATACAGTGGACTAAAGAAATTTATATACATTATACCAAAAACGTAATTCTCTAAGGCTTGAAAATAATCAATGGAGAGCATCAAAAAATATTTAGTATTTGAAAAATATAATATATCAAAAGTTGTATCTAAGCTACTATAAGATATATTTCTTCGTTAAACTTAATCGTTAGATTTAACGAAATTTTTAATTTAACGAATATGCGATCCAAACAAGCGTTCGTTTATTTAAACGACAACTGTACTTTCAATAGTGAATGATAAGGAACTACTGTTACTTTCAATATCTTACTTTCAATATCAATATCTTAGCCTCATTCCATATGAGGCTTACCAATTTCTTAGACTGGCCTGTAAAGTATTTACTACGTATAAATTGTAATTTTTCATAGCGTTACATATTTGCCCTTACTTAGAGTATTCAAGCTAACGAAAGGACTAACTCCGAATTCAATTAATTTTATGCAGCTTTGTATATGACAGATATTTGATCCATAGCATGTCTGTGTCTCTGAAGTCTGCACTTACCATATACATTGTGACCGAAAAGCTTTCGGAAATTCTCATTTAAAATTCGCGCGCTGTATATTTTTCGATATTTTAAGTTTATGTAGTTTGGCAGCCCTGTCCTTAATTACTATGCCAAAAATGAGCGCGATCTGTCAGACAGTTCGTTTACGGCAGCTGTTGAAACCAGTTCACCTCAGTAGTGCGTTGCGAAAAAAACAATGGAAAAAAATATTGAACAAAGAGTTTGCATCAAATTTTGTTTTTCGAACGAAATTTCGTGTGCAGAATCGTTGCGAATGCTACAAAAGGCTTATGGGGAATCAGTTTTATCGAAAACTCAAGTTTATGAGTGGTACAAAGCCTTTCAGGACTGTCGTACGACCGTCGAAGACATGCCGCGTTCTGGACGACCTTCGACCTCTACCACCGACGAAAACATTGAAAAGGCAAAGGAAATCGTGTTCAAAAATCCTCATGTGAGTGTTAGAGAGATAGCACGAGAGCTAGGCATCGGTCGTGAGATGGCTCGTTTGATTTTGGTGGACAATTTGTGTA